ATGAAATAAAAACGGAATATAGAGTGACAGAGCTTAATATAAAGCCGATATAGATTAAAGAACATATTAAATAATCTGATGTTTTGGTTTTATTTAAATACTAGTGCAAGGCTACAATTTAACTTGACTCCATACAAAATTCAATGAATCAGGTAAAGTGCAGAGATTCTTTGCTGCATGACAGGTGAGTTTATATGTTCCTATAGAGACCTAAATATCAGTACTGGAATTATTACCTCTGTAGGCTTCCCTTTACAAGGTCAAAATGGGATGCAGAACAAAAAATAGAAGTGTCAGAACTCTAAACATCTGAATGCTCAATACTGCTTAAAAAGCAGTTGAACGCACATTTATTTGATAATGCTGAATTTATCTAAGCAGTTTTGTATTGGGAAAAATAAATCACATATGTAAAAAAAATTCTATCATTAATATTGTGAAGACTTTTGATAATCTTCTGTTGTTTTGGCCTTAATTTTACTAGGATTTCAACTTCTAAACTATAGAGAGTATTTGTCTTTTGCACTGCTGTGAATAAACCAGTCTATGAGGTTTAATAATAATGTTACTCATTTTGGATTTGCTCCAAACATGCATAGCTTAGTAACCAAAAAAAAGTTAAACACTATTGTAATACACAATTCATGGGGCATCTAAGAGCATAAAATCTCTGAAAACTCCAAAATTACTAATATTAGAGCATCCTAATTGTCTGTCATGCTATTTCAATTAAAAAATTAAAATGTGAAATCTGTTCCCTTCATATGACTGACATTGATCTATTCATGCAACACAACACTGCACAGTATGTTCTTACTGGTGGCAGCATCAACCAGAAAAATGAGATATGTGCTACTAATTTATTTCAATAATTTACTAAACACTGAATGTAGTCCTCTGATATTTTATTTTTCTCACAGAAGGAACAGTTCATATTATTTTTTCCCTCTGTTTTCTACTTTTTTCCTTTCCCTATACATAATGACTTACAGAATTCCTATACAATTACCCAAACTTCAGTATTGCAAAGGTGTAATTGTTCTTTTCTCTGCAGTAAAAGTGAGGCCAAATATGTTTGTCCCCTTAGTAGCAGTTTCTTTCATTAGGCATTACATTTTAAGCATATAATTAGAGCCATCATATCAGTTGAACTTTAGCGCTTTGTGCAAAAACAGGCTCAGTTCAGGAAAATACATACACTGTGCCAAACTCATACTTATTTTGTAGACCTTCTCATTCTGCTGCTTTCACGCCATTTCCATGTTTCCATCACCAACTTTACCCAGAAAATATACCATGTGAAATGTGAAGTAAATCTTGCAAGATCATAGGGATATTCTCAAGATAAATTTAAAACTAACTTTTTGTCACCTCCTGCTTGGCAACCTTACCTCTGTTGCCTGTTATTCTTGTCTGAAAATCATGCTATTTCTTCTCTGTCAAGTACTAGCTTCAAAGTAACAAGAATAAATGTGTAATTGTTGCAGTGTCTTCCAAGGAAGTGATGGGAGAGGAGAGGGAAAAGAATGTGAAATACAGGTGTAGCTCAAGTGACTCAAGTTGGAGAGGAACCCATCTTCAGTAATGAATAGTCTTAATGGATTCATCATATAGTCAATTAAAATGTAATATTAAGTCACTTTCAACAATGCATTCCTATAGTATGCATTTTGGTCGCGTATCAATATAAAGAAGCCACTTCATGTTTCGTAATTTTAAAGTGATATATATCATCTCATATGTAATTCTTCCATGGTTTCTGGGGAGGTACAGAAATGAAAATTAGCAGTATCATGCTCAGTATTCTACAAATGTTGGAGAACACTGGTTGTAATTTACTGAATTCAAAGAGCTCATAACAGAAGTCTTTTCTGATGAAAATTTGAAATGAAGTCACAGAATCACAGAATGGCCTAGGCTGGAAGGGACCTTAGAGATCATCTAGTCCAACCTCCCTGTTTTGGGCAGGGACGCCACCTCTCGACTAGACCTGGCAACACATGGGGACCGAGCGGGAATCGAACCCACGACCTCGGTGTTGATCCTTGTTGCCAGCACCGTGCTCAACCCGCTGAGCTAACTATATCTCTACATTAAAACTGTATTATTACAGGTTTTAGCTCACACTATACAATGATTGATACTCAAACCATGGGAGGCAAAATGTGGTTTTGCAGACATCACCTTCCAGCCTTTTCTGCAGAAACCACCTTCTGGTCTCCATTTCATATATTCAGTTAGTAGCACTGTCTTTCAAAGATCATGATGTTAAGACATTCTGGGTTTATTTCTTCTCTTGCTTTTTTATTATCTTCTTGTTCTTTGGTAAGTACTGTCTACAAAAATGATTCTGCAATTGAGTCACACTACCTTTGTGTCAGATGTGGACATATTAGATCATGAGAGAAGAGATTTTTAACATTGTCCTTATAAAAAATTATTGGAACTACAGATTCAAAAATGAGATTTTGGAGCCAGGGACTCACATTTCATAACCATAAGGTACATATGGGAGCATAGGGAGAGAAAGCCATGTTCTTCCCACACACATTTGAGTGGTTTGAGCCATCAGATGATTTTTTTTTCATCCAGCTTGTGTGTGAAAATGTAGAATAATTTAGACTTTCTGTTTTAGACTAGCATGATTTTTGTCGAAATATCCAGGCATTTCTTTTGGCAAGACTTATTCAGAGAAACCTCCTCTGGCCCCTTAAAGACACCAGTAACAGGACATATGTATCTCCTTAGGTATTGAAGTCTGAACTCACCGCCCTACGGTTCCTTACCAGTCAAAAGAAAGAGAGACATGTCCTGAGGAAATTAATCTCATCATAAAATGGATGTTGAAAGTAAACCATAAGGATCCCTCTTCAGACATTTTGCTTTAAGAAATCTAAAGTTAGGCAAGATAAATTCCACCCAAATCTACAGAGTCCAGATTGGACACACTGGTAAAGGAAACACTTCCAGAAACAATTTAAGTTTTATAGCCTTTCTTGTTTTCATCTGCTTCTTTCTTTTCCAAATGGCAGCTGTGAGAATGAGCATATAAATTAACATTTCCATAAGCTACATAGTATTTAAATGAAACAAGTTATTTTCCATAACCCCTAGATAGAAATAAGAAGTTAATTGAAATTAAACATCAGTGAATTTGTCCAAAAGTTCACAAGGAGTTCTATAGTCTCTTTGTCTCTTTGGTCCTGGATGCCACAAGAAGGGAGAATGACTGTGAGTAAATGCCTCTCTCATAGCAAAAGTGCTAACATCAACAGTATGTATATGTCAATAACCATCTTGTAAAGAAAGAAAATATAGGGACCTCTAATCACATCTAATCATTGTTCCAAGCAACTTTTGCTTTTTTCCCCTCTGCATTTCTAACATTTCTTCTACTGACTTATCACATCGGCTGTCAAATAACTGACTCTTTCTGGCAACTGACAGTTTAAAAGAAAAGTATATTATAGAACAGACAGTCTCATTGTTTTCCATAAATTCATATGGACTATGAACAATTAGGACAGTTCTAAGAATAGAGTAATAGATAATTGTAACAAGCCCTAACTCTCACAGTTACTTTACAGGATGTCTTTGGGATAAAGTAAATGCAAGTACTGGTGTAACAGTTATATAATTTACCATTTCCATCTTATAAACATCAGACACATTGTTTCTGTATTTTATGAAAACTAGTGCAGAATTATAAATTGTACTCACTTTTAAACCACACTGAAAATACATACAACTAGTGCATTACAAAAAATCAAGTTTCACTAAGCATTCGCAATTATAGTGAGCTACATAAAGCATTATCATATAAAATTTAAGTGCATGTATCTATTGTTATAAGTAAACAAATACACTGCTTTAAGTAGGAAAAATCAGTAACAGTCTGAACTAAAGATGGTAAGAATAAAAATCAGCACCCTCATTTGTCAGGATGCCTAGTGAGACAAGAAAGGTTCAATACAGCAACAGCACTGTAAGGATAAATAAATAGCCATAAAGCTGCATGGAAGCTTGCAGATGGTGAATGAATCCATGTCTGTCACGTTTTTATAGTACAATGACTTTTAGATATTGCTGCCAGATGGAACATAGTTTTGCATCTTGAATATATATCTCCAAGAAATGCAACTTCCTTCAGTGTGTTCCCTGTACTTGAAACAAAAGCAAATTCAGAAGTAGGTTTGGGAGACTAAAGCAGTTTTAAGGAAAACTGAGAGAATATAAATTATATCCTCAAAGGCTTCCTTGTTTTAACTAAATTAAAAATAATGGAGTTACTCGTGTTATGTATTTTTTTGAGGAAACCCAGGAAAAGTATCATTTAGATATCTACAGGAAAAACTGCATGTCATCTATCAAATACAAATTACAACCTAGGCAGGTTCAAAAGACCTTTGAATCAAAATTACAAGTAGCTTGGCAAAACTTTTGCATTACATTTATTCTTACTTCAATAAAAAGAGTTATCTATCACACAAGATCAGATTGTAAAAGTACAGTGCATGGAGCATAAATGTATTTAATCTTTGCTGGCAACAAACATCTATATCTACATTACAGAAGCACCTTGCCACTCTCCTTGTGTTAAATGATACCTATACAGACCTAATATCTAATCAGTCTTTGCATAGATGTGTTTTTACAAACTATCAAAAAAGTACAGAGTTTTTTGCTTTAATATGTGCTTACCCATCACACTGGGGGTTCTATCTGTCTGGTCTTTTTTTCTAATGCTAGCTGGTATCACTAAGAAGCGAATAACTCTGAAAGCGATGAAGTGAACTATATGACTGTAGGGGAGAATATTTTCCCATTCAATGATTTCTCACAAAGTCTGATTTGATGACAAACTTGAGTTGACTTGTCTCGGACAGCCTCAAGCATTGTTTATATGCAGATAATTCCGCGTGTGAACCCATTAGGCTTTGATGACAGTTATAATCAAATACAATTGGGAAACCTTCTGGCTTACTTGGATCCATACTTACATTGTGCTTTGTGAGGTTGGAAATGTTACTTGCTATTGCTTGTAGCCAGTCAATACAGTCTTCAGCAGAGAGACACTGAATTATTCCACTGCAAACTCCATCCACAGCAATTACTTGGAACGCATTTTGCCTATAGACATGTCATAACAGATCAGGTCAGAAGAAAATTTCATCTGTTTTAGCATATCGTCTTAATAATACTTGTAGAAATGCTTTTCTTTCAACTGCAACGAAGGTCAGCCACTGAACACTGATAAACTACTGGTTTTCCTGTTTTACAAATACCTGACATATTAAAAAAGATCATGCTAAAAGGTCAGCTCAGACTGTATTAAGTTTCCATAATTCTACAAAGAAATGCCACAGACTAACTCCACTGAACTTTGACCAACACTGTGTCACTTCAGAAACCAAAAAAGGGAAATAGTTGATGCTATTATCCAAAGAGTTGACACTTTAATACTGTAGATCACAGAAAAAGAAAGTGTGAACTGGACACTGTAGGCAATCAGTTGAGAAATTCAGTGGTATACAGTATTTTTGACTAAGCAACTTTGGTTTCATTTTCTCTAATAAACAATAATCTGTCGTGCATTATAAAATTACTTTCCACAGCTGACTGCTGAGCAATTATAGAACAAGAGAAAACTTTCAGAAGCTAAAGCAGTAACAAACCTAATTTCTTCAACAAATATGGCTGAACAGTCTTAGGAAGTCTCATAGACTTCATAACCAAAAAACCTCAATATTAATCCGTATCTCAGAGTAAGGGATTACTAAATATACAGAGAATACCAAGTTCCACTGCTTCCATTCTGCTACAAACTCATTTAGTAACAAAAAACTCATGATTTAAAATGAAGTACATTATTCAGATTCTTTCAGAATGGCTCAGACAAAGTGAGTGTAATCTTCAGCACAAAACTGTGTCACTGATGACAGTTTCTGACATTCCAGAACAGATATAAATTCTGCAAAGTGTTTTCTTATGTCTTGAAATTATATTCTATTTGTGTAGAATGTAGAGCTAATACCTATCTTCTTCATAAAGGTCTTTGCTGCATCTGTGTCAAGTACAGGTTTTTCGTTCAGTCAGGAGAAGCATTAAAAATGAATTAGAGCCCTACCTTTGCTTTGACAGGCCCATCATGAGAACTAACTCTTAGAGGAGGATAAAGCTTATATATCCTAACATGATCATGCAGAGACCAGTGGTTTATCTAAATCCATCAGCAAAACTAGCAGTTTAGTTCTGTAAAATCCCAAAGGTACAAATAGAGAGCTACTTTCAATGTCTCATTTTAACAATAATTCAGGTAAAGTTTTTGAGGAATTTTGATGTATTTAAAGCATCTTCTGGTAAAGTAGTTTGCATCTCTTTACTAGATCTTTTATTTTAAGAAGCTATAAATACAAATAGTAAGTTCTTCAGAATAAAATTCTACATAAATCTTTATATCATAGAGAGCATAGCACGATAGTCAAATTTGCTGATTACCTCTTCTGAGAAAAATAGCATTAATTTCAGGTTTCACCTTTCTTCTCAGCCTACTGTAAACCAAAGTAGGAACCCAAGAAATTTATTAATGTATGACACTAACCCGCACAAGCAAAGAAAACCCAGTATGTTCCAGATTTGATCCTGATGTACAAAATTCCCTTGCACTACAAACACAGTGAACGTGATGCATTCAGGGCATCAGACTGTTCCTAGTGTACCTAGGTATTTGATCTGTGCATATACAAAATCATTGATTCAGAATGTTCTTGCCCAAGTGTCAATAAGCATAGACTATAAGAATGCACGGCTATCTAATGAATTACTTCTGAATGTGTCTGGGCTTTAGATATCCTTAGCCATAGATTATTGTAAGAATTTTCCTCAATTAGTCTGCCAGCCAAAGACCATACTACCACACAAACTTGAAAGAATAATGTATTAAATGTGTGTTTGTATTAAATAGAAAAAATAATAGATTAATCACCTTACAATACAGCAAAAAAAGTAAAGATCAGATGAATTCTTACTGAACTACACATCTCTGGTTCTGAGCCTTCTGAACTCAAGAGTTACATTTGAAATTAATATGCTTTCCAAGATCGACCTGAATGTCCTCTGGAATTGCATGTGTCTCAAGCATCCCACTAGAAAAGCTAGAATATGAATATGAGATGTAATAGTGTATGTGATAATGATACGATGTATTTCTATGCCAGCTTTTTCAAACTCCAAAACATAAAAAGTTATTAGACTTTGTATAGTTAAAACAGCTCTGTAAATATTAACTGCAGAAAGTGTAATGAATTAAATTCCATTTATTGATGCTTTTTTCAATATCCTTTCCTTATCCTTTTTCTTTATAGCAGTATCTTTTAAAAATGATCTACCTTTTCATAACAAATGCTTACCCTATATTAAAAGACTCTTATAAAGTGTCCTGTTAGCACCACGAAATGCTAGTTCTTGCTTTTTTGAATGAAATCCCACTTCCTCTCTCATATTTATACTGCATTTTTGTTTCATTTACTTATTCTTACTTCCTCATGTTAGACAGAAGGACATAAGGAGAAAAGCATCAGAGTAATTATTCAAGGTTTGAGTATGAATTCACGTATTTTGTTTTATGTTAACATACTTTTAAATTTATTTTCTGGAAATTCAAATCTCAGTAGCGTTACTGTCTAAAAATCTTCCTCTGTAATGTACAAGTTCTATAATGTTCACTTTAAGCTTTTGTTTTATTGATGCAGAAGACTGAATTTTAAAACCCTAGGTCTATGAATAGTTGAATATGTCCCAATTTTCCATGTGAGTAGTTCTATTCAGTCCAGTCTTATTTGAGCTATACAGTAGAACAGATCTCAGATTTGACTGTTACAATTTTGGGCCCTTTATGTTTCATGCTCTTAATTATTTCTATTTCAGCCAGTGTTAAACACTGAGATGAAGTTAATAAAATTTAATAAAAATATTAAATTTAATAAACAGAATTTAATAAAAACCCATCTGCCTCTGTGGTGACTATATCTTGTTCCCTTTCAGTTCATCCATTAAGCTGTTGTAGCCTTTGGTTTACACCTTGACTCCTTGGGCCAGCCATTGTACCTCAACAGAAAAAGAGTCATGTAGCCAAATAAATATGATTTTGCTATTACTAGTCAAAAGCTGCAGGTTGTATTTAGCTTCCTTCACAGTTAACCAGTGGTGAACTGACTACTGTCTAACCTGGTTTAATTTCAGCTCTGTGAACATGAAAAAGGCTGAACGACCTTGGTACTGTACTTCTAAGACACAACAACCCTTAGAAGTAACTAAGGCTTGTGGGAAGCTTTTGTGCAACTTCCAAATGTTTGTCGAGAAGCTATGAGAAGGAGGAGGGCTGTGGTAGGAAACAGTAAAAGCCAATCTATGCAAACCCTAGACTGAAGTCAAAGAACATTCCTCTCCTCTAATTTCTGGGAAAGTTCATAAACTCACCCCTGGGGACAGATGGTATCACTTGACTGCAGGATCCCTAGAAACACCAGAAGGGTGAGATCATAGAATCACAGAAAGGCCTAGGCTGGAAGGGACCTTAGAGATCATTTAATCCAACCTCCCTGTAATGGGCAGGGATGCCGCCTCTCGACTAGATCAGGCAAACACATGGGGACTGAACAGAAATCGAACCCGTGGCCTTGGTGTTTGTCAGCACCACACGCAACTGACTGAGCTAACCAGGCCCCTAGCTAACCAGCTGGGGAGATTCTTTCACAAAACTGTCTTTCCAGAAATATTAATGAAGTTTTTCTGTATTAATTAGGTAATTTTACATATGTTTGAATGGAGGAACAGGAAATTTTGAACCGCTAATGCCTGATGAGGGTACAGCAAACACACTAATCTTCCCAGAATCACACATCTAAACTAGCAAAGGAGGCTACATGGGAAAGACAATTTATTTCAGTTAATAAGGCCTCATATAAGTCCTTTGTGCTTAATTTAAGAGTTAGCTTTTCTGATGAGTTAGAAGAGGAAGTAATGGAGAAAAAGGCTTTATAACTGTAGAAAGCTGTCCTCCGGTTAAAAACTTACATGCTGGAACCCACGGAATTTTTTAGTATTAGATCTTTATTCTTATATATAGAGATGATAAATTAATCTTCACAATAACTAGGTATTAAAAATTTCAAGAGGTATGATCTTATTTGTATACTTTGTCATGTTGATTTTTGTAGTTACTTTCTTTTCTATTTAAATATTTAAATGCATAACACTCAAAAACCAGTAATCACTTCAAAATATTCTTGTCTTCATTTCTGATTTCGTCTAACTTACTAGGATAATATTAAATTAAACAATGATAAATTGTAGGTCTACATGATGTAATAAATTTAAACTTCACTATGAGCTTTGGACAGCTTCCCCAGTGATTGAGGGACAAAATGGCACTGAAATTCAATATTAATAAATCTGAAGTAACAGCTATGGGAAAAAATAACCTTATCTATATGAAAGCAATAGCGAACCTTACTGTAGCTATAAACATTGAGGAAAGAAATGCAAGAGTTGCTACAAAAATTCTCTGAAAACCATCACCTTAGTGCTCAGTGACAGTCAAAAGGTTATTATGAAATATTAGGAAAGAACAGAGAATAAATTGGAAAACATCATTACATTTTAATATAAATCAAGAAGGATCCTCTTTGCAGTCCTGATCACCTTATCCCATAGAAGATATATATTAGAATTACAAAAGAAACTGAGAGAATAACATGGATAATCAAAGCTATACAAGGGTTTCCATAAAAGAAGATAGCAATAGATATTCTTCAAAGTGGAAAACAGAAGACAATCATCTGAAGTTCTAAAAACATAAATCAATAATGTCTATTTAGCATTTGCCTTAACACAAGAGTCAGGGCACAGAGTCCCCCCTCCTGGGTGCCTGACTGTCTGTGGGATCAGGCTGCTGTGAAAGATCTTGAGTGGGAGGACCTGTCCTCCCCCTTCACTCAGGAGCTGCTGTGAGCTCAGGCTCTCGACCTTGGTCCTCACCTGAGTCTGCCTGTAGATAGGTCTGTGCCTTGACCTTGTGTCCCACTGATTCCCACACAACCTGTGAGCTGACTTACCCACCTGACCTGCGCCCCACTTCACCCTGATGGACTCATCTGAAGAACTCCCCTAGCCCTGCTCTGCTCCTCTACCGCAGGCAGTGCGACAGGGCCCTTGTCTGCATGGACACTGCCTCATCGAGCCTTCCTGCTCTTGACTCATCTTCCCCATGGGGAAGCCAGCTCTTGCTGCTCCTGCACAAGATTATTTCACCCAATGAAGTTATCAGGTGAGAGATTTGACACACACGAAAGGAACTACTATTTAAAAACATAATTATGTCGTGGAGTTCACTGCCACAGTGCACTAAAAAAACCCAAGTAAACAAAAACAGCTTAGAAAGATGCTTTTGAAGACAAGTGCATTAGCCTTTATTAAATACGATGACTTATGTGCAATCTCAAACTGAGAAATGTGTTGATCAGTAGCTACAAATAGGAAGATCACATGTCTTCCCCACATATCTATGGTTGTAGCTGATGTCAGAATAGAATACGGGTCAAGGTGGACCTACACAGACCTTTATGAAAGTTTCATGTCTCTGACAGCTGCAGTGGAACACATAATCATAGAATCATAGAATCATTAAGGTTGGAAAGGATCTCTAAGATCATCAAGTCAAGCCATCAATCCAGTAGTACCATGACTGCTAAGCTATGCCCCAAAGTGCCACATCTACATGTTTTTTGAACACCTCCAGTGATGGTGACTTCACCACTTCCCTGGGCAGCTTGCTCCAGTGCTTCATCTCTATTTCTAACAAGGTAACTCCCTAAGTCTTTTATCTGTCAACTAAGAATTCAATTTTTAACTTTCTGAACTTCTTTACCTGCACAAATCTGATCCTGGAAGGTACTGGGAAAACCGTGAATGAAGAAGTGGAATTAATCGGAGATCACACCACCTTTTTTCCCACCTAAGTCCTGGGGATGCTGGCCATGAGGAACATGATAATGTATCCTGAAAAACATTAAAAAGTCCTTCTCAGTTTTGTGCTTCATTGTAGGTACTCAGCAGGTTTGGATAGAGACAGACAGACTTCAAAGACTTTGTGTTCCATTTGGCATTGTGTTCTACTTCTCCCAAATCATTTGGCATGGGTTTTAGCTAGCACTGGAGAGATTTTGAACTTTTTCTCACAAATAAAACAAATCTACATAAACCTCAACATCAATATGCTTGGAGGAAGTGTGAGGAACAGTATTCTAAAAACCTAGGGAAAACAGATTGCATCCCTTTTTTGAAACGACTAGTCATGAATAGAACTGAATATTTACTATGTACCACATCATCAGTTACTAGTTTTATATTTGTACCCTGAGCAAAAGTGATCTCTAAATTACTCACTACAAAACCATAATTCAGTTGCTTCCTATGGCCTGGTACATATTTACATACATTTCTATTCTAATTACATCACTTCAAAACCTGGTAATTGTGAGTGGGATTTAACATGAGCATTACATGTTTATGATTAATATTTTAATTTTACCTATTCAAACAAAGCATTACTCATACAAGAATTGAACTTTCCCACGTCTATGATCACATCTACAAAGAACGACTAGTTAAATATCTACAGTCTGATTTCACCAGTATTTTTACAGAATATAGATTTGAATGAGAAATGTTTGTAAAAAGTGAAATGATCAACATTTATTTTTAAAAATCAAACACCTTTTCCATTCTTTATACAATGCTCTGAAAAACAGTAAAGTGTTAATTTTATTTTTCTGAAGAAGCATGTATGGAGTACTTTTAGTATATCAGTAAAGTTGTACTTGCCAATCCTGCACAATTTATGTTTTTTTAATCTCAGACATCACATTTTTCTTACCTGTATCTTCTGTAAAAGAAATAGTATAAAAATTAAGTACATCTTGTATTTTTCTAAAGTGTGACTTTTGTGTAAGATCTATGAAGTTATAATATTTTGCCAGCTTGAACTTTATCTAGCTTTCATGCAGATAAAATAAAAGATCAATTTAGCTGAACAGCAGGTTTTCATAAGTAGATTCACTTATTTAAAACACTGAATGTCTGGTGATACATTCCATAGATTCAATACAAATAAATAAATGATTGGCTAGGAAGACTGAGTTAGGGTGTTGTTTTGAACATTGTCTTGGCCTAGATGTGGCTGCAACAGAAATGTTAACTCTAACTGCAAAACTCTGAGTTGTTCATGAAAGACCAAAACTAGTCCTGTCTACTACAAATTCTGAGTAAGAAGTCTCCTTCACGTGAAACACCAAGGCTATACATTAAGAAATAGACTATGGCCATAAATCATGATGCATTCTAGAGAATATTCTGAGAAAAAAGAAGGAACCATAACATGAGTTGTACGTAATTTAGGAATTAGTATAGAAGTCTCATTTGGTTTTATGAAACATTCTATTCCCATTACAAGTGGACATCTGAAATAATAAACGCATCCTGGCCTTCAGCAGAAGAATTTAATTTTGGGTGAATTATAGACTCATGATTCTTCATTATATTATTTAAATTGAGAGAAAAAGACTTGGTTACAGCAAATTATTATGAGTTTAAATGGAAACTGTAGCTAATGTAGATCAGTTTTGGTCAGTCTGCAGAGACAGGGTTTACAAATGGAAGCATAGTTTTTATCCTAGAAGCAAAGTTAGAAATGAAGTGGCTGGCAAAAGACTGTTAAGTCTGCTTCTGATGTTTAATTAAACAGTGGTTAAAACCAGCAAAGTCTACTGAACAATGCTTACTTTTTTGTTTGTTTGGTTTCTTTTAATAAATCTGTAATAATTATGCTGTATGTTGGTTTATTTATTCAGTGCTTTTTATTCATAGTATTCACCTATCACAAAGGCAAAAAACACTTAAAACTATATAAAATAATGGAAATTTTGCATTTCCTGGCTAAGAAAATTCTTAGAAGCTCTTCGTTGTACTTCATATGAATGTTTTACTAAAAATCTGATCTATATAAGTACTAAATATTAAATACTAAATAAATATTAAATACTAAATATTAAATAAATAAATACTAAATATTAAATACTACATTTGTAGCATTTAATCTTAAAGAGACTTTGCTCCATAATGCTATACATCTTCAGTAAGATTTTAAGTGTAAGTTACTAGAAGTACATGTTTTCACCTTAAAAACAGGCAAAAACCATGTACCTAAATTTTGAATTGCCAAAAGTTTCAGACAATAAATGAAATAAAAATATTGGAAAAAAATATTCCTAATTTTTTTTCTACCCTTTCTTTAAATATTTTCATTTCAATAATTTATAAAACTATACTCTGGAAATAATCTAGAGGAAAAAACCTTTCACAAAATCCCTACTGAATTGCACAGATGAAAATAGCAATCACAGCTATCAAGGCACAATCTCAATTGGTATAATTTATCATAGTTTAATTCACAGCCATAATATCTGGCAACTCTTTTTGCCCCCTGTGGAACTGTCTATCTTCAATGTTAATTAGAGCTCCTCCCATGTTGCTGCACTTTATTAGTTACTTGCACTTAGCTATTGCAGTATAATTATTCTTCTGTGTAATTCCATCAAAGGAATATAAAGACTTACCGTGTTGTTGGGATGGTAGTTGAGATGCAAACCACTGTCACATAGGGGAGAGGATGTGCCACTGCTTTGGTCACTGGGGGCACCTAAAAATACACAAAAAATCTTTATTTATCAAAAATGCTATAATTCGAATTTGTGTATGCCTGTATGTAGGACATTAATTTGTTCAGTAATAGAAGAAAACAACAATCACAGCCTTTTGCAGATTTGATATTAAAAGGAAAGTGTATATCTCCTCCCTTAGTTTTAACTTGGAGGAACGAGTCAGATAACTTTTTTGTTACTCTTGAAGTTTACAGTTCTAACTGTTTTTGTAACTTTTTAAGAAATTACAGTGCTACATCTCAAAAGTAACACAATAAGATAATGTAAATGCATGTTTGTATGTGGTACTCAGGGTACTGTGTTGTACCACAACTTTCCATGAAAGGGAAAAATATACTGGGATAAATTTTATTTAAGAATATGGTGTTCTAAAGTTTTTCTTGCCTCATTAAAATTTAATACCCAGGCAAAAGAGAGAGTTTTTAACTAAGGTTTGTACAAAATATTATTTTATAACTTATAATCAAAATTTAAAAGTATTGAAATGAAATATTTATTGTTTTGTTGCTCAAAAATTAGGCAATTCATTTTATCCTCTTAGGGGTAGAATGAAAGCAGTGGAGACAAAAGGCACAAGCTGACATATAAATATGCTTAGATATGCTGCAACTGTCTATAATTATGCATCCACACTTACAATTTAATATAATTAAAGGAAGACAGCTGTCTCCACATGTCTCTCATGGGGCCAGTTGACTAAAACTCAGTTGGACTTAAAAAAAATACTAATCATCGAGAGTAATTTATTTTTAGGTAGTGAGACACCTCCACCAAAGCCTCTGAATTTTAAATGGTAAAGCGAAGCCCTCTGAATACATACACACAATCTAATTTTCACATTTACAAGGCAAAACTTTTTCACGCTAAAATGTTATATGGTGCTGCCTGAAAAACTGCTTTTAAATATTCTGCATCAGGATGCGAGCCACTGTAAATGTAATGTAATTCCAGTGTTTTACCTGCGACTTTGCTGTTTCACACCAGCCAAATGCCTGGTGATCTTTTTTCAAGCAAAGATAGCAATTTTTTGCTCCAGGTGAATGTTACTGCAAGACCTGGCAATACAAGCAGCTCACATTTAGTCAGCAATGCTAACCAAAAAAGCTGCTGTCAATCACTCACAATGCACAGTAGGTTCAAGAACTGCAAGCATTTATAAGCACTGAATTGAGTTTTCTAAAGGCTTACATGTGCAATCTTCATTCAGTGGCAATTTGAGAAAAGCAGGTGCTCTTTTCAGAAAGGACACAGTTAGGGTCACTTCTTCCCCTGCATTGCGAAGGACCTGAACCTGGAAGAGAAATACAGATAGGACACCTTGAAATAAATGTATGACTCAGATGCATCGGCAAACGTAAACAACACCACACAACTTTCACATACCAGGCTCCTTAGCAATTTATTGTGATCACTTCTACCTAAAAAGAAAGCAAGATGTAAATCTTGCAATATACTTGTCCATTGTCTTTCTAGTCATACACACAGGCAATGGGAAGGGGGGCATTTGCACTGTGCTATTGCACAACTTGCTCTCTGATGTTGCTCAGCTGTACACCTCCTCCCTACAGACCTGGCACCATTCACACTAGTATGTATGTAAAACAAACAAAAAAAAGATTATTTCCCCCCCCATCCCAGTTGTTTCCTAAATCTCCAACCAAAACAATGGCAGTAGTTTCTACAGCTGTGCCATAATCCTATAAGCAAATCTCTCCAACAGCCAGAGTTAAATTTAGCCAAAGCTCTCCAGCATGGATGAGAGATCTAATCTTCCTTACAGCCACAGAGGAAAAGTACCTATTTTAAGCCTTAAGCCTTAGATAAGCACAAGCTTGGGTTTCGCCAAAGGGCAGCTTGCATTTTGGACATAGGAATGTGTAAATCACCTATCCAACCGGGTATGCTTTTAACCTTCCTGTAGTCTCCCACCAATGCTCCTGCAGCTCTTGTTCATGCCTGTAGCTTTTTTGTCCTTGTATGGCTAATAGATAACTCAAGACACACAGCAGAGAAGGGAATCCCAGGCACCCCTCAGAGCGGTACAAAGGAGGCACGAAAGCAGCTAAACAAAATGCTATACTTAACAGTGAAAGACTAATATTTGAATCCATTTATAACATGAGAGACAAGAAGCAGGAGATCATACAACTCTGTTTTAGAGAACAACCATTTCCTGGTCTTCTGCCTCTTAGAGCTTCAAAACTTTTAGAGGGTTGATTTAATCTGGGGTTACAAAGATGTAAGATTGTACCATGCCTCTATCTGAATGACCACTCAAACTGTGCAAGGAGCCAGCTCGCTGGGAATAGTGTTCAGAGAGATGCTACATAGTGACATATTATACAAATGATTTAAACTAGCATGTTACCTGCTCCCTTTCCACTGTGTTTTCATGGTAGCTGGATAACACACAGGTGATGCTGCTGCTTGTGAGAAAGTCTTGTGAATAATTTATGGAGGGCTGTTACTCTTTAATCTATGCATAATAAAGTCTATTTTACACATTTAGCTACCTGCATGAACAGAACTGTATGCAAGGATGCTTTCACATGGAATCACTGCATTAACTTAAAGCAATTCTTAAAGAAAATATGTTGACTTTGTCTCTAAACACAGTACTTCTTACTCCACACTGGTTGGTACAGAATAGTAACAACATGATGGTAGAATAATTGATTCAGTATCTGAAATCCACTCCAAAATGTTAGGCTCTTTGTTTTCTAAAATAGCACAGTGGTTGTCAAGGTACGATTTGCAGTGTAGTGTGTATTTACACACAAACATCACAACAAATTTCATCGCCTTAAACTGCATGCCAAAAAACATCTCTAACATGAGCCTCTCTGACAAGCACTTCCCAGTTCTGATGTTTTATACCTTAGAATTCACAGAGTACTTATTTCATAGAAAGAACCACAGAATCAGAGAATGTTAGGGGTTGGAAGGAACCTCAAAAGCTCATCTAGTCCAGCCCCCCTGCCAGAGCAGTATCACCTGCAGTAGGTCACACAGGAACGCGTCCAGCCGGGTTTTGAAAGTCTCCAGAGAAGGAGACTCCACAATCTCTCTGGGCAGCCTGTTCCAGTGCTCTTGTCACCCTCACAGTGAAAAAGCTTTTCCTAAAGAATTTGTGGTACCTTCTATGTTCCACGTTGTACCCGTTGCTTCTTGTCCTATAAATGGACTTGCAATCAAGTCAGTAAATCAAACAGTAAATCAAGACATCAAAGTCCTGAATTGCATTGGATAGACCACACCATATTCTCAGCCTTCGTAGAAAATTCACCCTTCTCTTGTATGCAGGAGTCACACAGTTCAGAATAGTCATAGCCAAAGCAGAAACTCACAGGCATGTATTTTCAATTGAAACAACAGATGTGGACAGATGAAGTGCTGGAAAAACACAGCCACCCTCTGCCTTTTAAAATATATTTCCTTTTACTCAGGAATGTGCAAGAAATGAGTGGAAAAGCTACAGCATTACCAACTTTAATTTATGAAGTCACTTTTTAAGATATCTAAGTAGATATCTTTCACAAAAGAAGCTAAGACAGTAAATTCTGCCCCTGAAACTTTCTTCTTCCAAGAGTAAAACAATCCACAAGGCTGTGTAATTTTATTTGATAACACAACGTTCTGTAAAGGCTGGAAGTTGTATTCTAGTGTGACCTTCTTCTCTAACCTTCTTTTCAAACCTCTTCCTCTCATAGGATGAAAAACTTAAGCTGGTATACATTTTAGTAAATATCACCAATACTCATTTGACTGAAGTGTATTTTGGAGTGTATGAAGCATATAATCCAAGAAGTGACTGATTTTGATATGCAGAATAAAGAGTAAAAAGAGATAAAAGACTGAAAAACAAAACTATGAGGTAATGACTCCAACAAAGAGGAAATGAGCTATTGATCCTATTTCATTTACTTTCTAGTCATTAACAAAGCCATCCTGGGAAAAAAGGTTAGCTGAGGAAAATGGGATTTTTAATTAAATTTATTAATTGCCTTTTGTATCTTCCTGTTGAAAACTTTAATGTTATTTTAAATTATATGTCTTTATTTTACATAAGAAATCAACTTATTGTGCTATTTTAAATTGGGTATACTTTAAAGGATTGATTTACTTTGTGTCCCTATTCAACATGCACACCATGCCATACTGCTGTTCCTCTATACAGAAAGAGAATGAGGAACAACAGGAAATATGCTCTTACTGAGGAATGTTTTTACTGATACACCACAACAACTCATGTTCATGAATGGCAAATTGATAATTTTTACCAAAAAAGATAACAGTCAAAAGTAATGTGACTAATTGTTATAGGGAGTTATGTCTAAGAAAAAAAAAAACACTTGAAAACAGAGTCAAAGTTTGTCTGGGAGATACAATATGGTATTCAGAGATTTACAAACAGCAGTGCAATTATAACAATAGTCAGAGATATTGACATATTAATTATTTCTTCTCTCTTCCTCTTTGCCTAACATCAGTTTAGCTCAAAGTTTTACAGAGCTATTTTAGTAAAATGAGGACTGTGCGAACCTAAATGCATTGCTTGTTCAGGCTTAAATATACATTGATGAAAAATGAATTTATCAGCACAGGTATATCCAAGCGGACTTGAGGAACTGGTAGCATACTCCCCTAGCAAAGCAGCAATGAGCTTTTACCAGTGAAGTCAGCTCATGAATGTACTGAAAAAATCCACTGTCAATCATGATATAACTTTTAGATAAAGAAATTGGTAGATATCTGCTCAGCCATTCTGCTCCCTCATGTTTACTGTATATACATTGCCAATACCTTGTCAATCAAGCTCTATCACTGACAACGTATGTGTTCATTATTTCTGGCAGTGATAATTAATTTACTTCTATCACAAATTGCCCTATATATATATAAGTAAGAATATTCATGGGTGGAGACAGGCAAAACAACAGTGATGTTTATCTGAACCAGGAGCTGTATGAAACAGTGAAATTAGAAGAGCCAGTGGTTCTGGAGTGACAGTGTCTGTAGTTCCAGGAAATCACTGTCACAATTTCAAGGGGTTCATTTGAAGATGTGAATTTTATAGTGGTGTGTGATATTGCTGAATAAAATATCTACATAATAATAACACTGGTCTGAAATTTATTTATGTCTACGATGATACTGCCTTTTAATTTCATAAAAACTTTTAAAGTCCCAGTTCAAGAAAACATTTGAGCATATGCTGAAGTCTCTCTCAATATATTCAGGAAAGCACTGAAGCATGAAGTTGCTCTGACTTTGCCTGAATAAGAATGAGGATCCATTCTTAAATTAATGAAATTTACCCACCAATGAAGTGGTGAAGATTTAAAATATAAGAATTATATAGTCCCTAAAATCTGCATTCTCTTGAATAGGAGCATATTCCACTCTTCAGTGTGCTTTACAGGAAAATTCAGTTCTTTGATTAATACCTTGAATTATAAATATCACGGGGTGGGGGGCAGGGAGGGAAGATGAAGAAAACACTGTGCAGTTACACGATGCATTAGAATCAAGTTCATCAGCATATATCACAACACACATTCTGATGCAGTCACATAAAGGCCCAAAGCTAGTAGGCTCAATGCATGTACACAACTGACCTGAATCACATTTATTTAAAAAATCAACTATTTTTCTCAATAAAAGACCTGTAGTTAATACAGAGTATTTGCATGAAAAACACATCACTGCATGGGGAGTTTTTAATCCCTATGATCTAATATTTATCACAGTAATTCTTCACAATTAAAGTTAATTAACAACAGTAAAAAAGTATCAAAGCTTTTTTTTTCCTTCAGAAAATTTCTCTTGCTGATATACAGAGTAAACTAGAACACCATTTCATGACAGCAGTTCCTACTCAGGCTGCACAACTCCAAGTACACTTCAGACCATAGTTTGATACTACCATAGCTGTACATTTTAATTTTTTTACTATCTGGTTCCAAAACATGTGTTCTGTGTTAGATACTTAGATGAAAACACAAACAGGCTGCACACTAGAACAGGGAGCTTCCTCAAACAGCAGAACAGTGCATGTGTCAAGGATCCAGAATGCACTTTTGCATGTATCTTGCTACTGGCACCATTTTAAAAAAGTGAAGGGGCATATAGCAAGATTAGTAGTCACAGCAAAGATACTCTACTGAGACTACCACTAAGTAATTATTCTGAAAAGTGGCAGATAGAGGTTTATGGCTTCTCAAGATGACACAGGGATTGAATCGAGGTACCACTTACTCAGTGAATGCTACAGCTACTAAGGCAAAATAC